GTTAAAAGATAAATAAATAAATAAAAATTTTTTAAAAAAATAAAGGAACTAGCTGCCACGGAAGAGTGAAAAAAATGATCATATATTGATTAAAAGACACATGATTAAAATATAAGAGCATAGAATATAAGAATTTTAAGAGTAAATAAATCATGGAAAATGTGTATTAGAAAAATTGTGGCCAACAGAAAGCAAAGTACAATGACATAAAGTTATATAACTAGAAAAAGCTTGAATTAGAACCCTAGATAATCCTACTTTAATGTTACAAGAATTCACAAAAAAAGATACATTCTAAACTTGGAAATTACATGACTGTATGTTAAAAAACTCAGTGAATTAACTGTCAAGTTTTTTTTTCTTAATTTAGGATCTTTATTAACAAGTGTGTCCAGTTATTTGAAAAAATCAAGTTGTATATTTTTATTATTAGTTAAAATCAAGTTCTTAAAAATCTCAACTTGACCAGATATAAAACAATTAAAAAACCTTTAAAGGTATATGGAGAAAAACCAGGGTCTTTAAAAATTTTTTTTTTGTCAAAAAGCTGTAAAAATAATAAAAATACAAAAAATCCCAACAACAAAACCTTTCTCCTTTCCCTTCCTCTTCCTTTGTCCCCCCTTCCTTTTTTTTTTTTTTTTTTAATTTTAGCAAGGGTCTACAGGGTCTCACTACGTAGATCGGACTTGTAGTGATCTGCCTATGTTGAGCTTCCAAAGTGCTGGAATTACAGGCATGTCCCACCATGGCCAGTCTCAATTGCCAGCTCAGCGTGCCCAGGGGGCGGGGCCAGTTTGGCATGCTGGGAATCGAACCCCGGCCACTGTGTCTGCCTAAGCAGGCTCTTTAATCTGCTGAGCTATTTGGCCGGCCCCACCTTCCCATTTTTGAAGAACATTTCCAACTGTGTCTAAGTCATTCACTTGATTCGTTTGGCACTTAGGGAAGAAGTGATTCCTGGCACTACTTTGGACCTTTTAGGATGATGTGGTTCAAAGAAATTATGGCTACAAAGCTTAAGAACTTGGTAGTGCCCACTATTTCTTGCTGTTGTTTCATTGGTCTGTGCAGCAGAGTGGAATCCCACAATATATTATATATGTTTGGTCTGTGTGCACGAGTCTCTGTTTGTGATGAGTGGGAAAAGGAAGGGCCATTTTGGGAGAGAGCAACTGAATCTTAAATTCTTAGCCTATGGGAAGGTTTTTCACCTCATCTTGTGTTTTGTAAAGTTTATCTTCTGAAGTTCAATCAGCAGTAGTAGTGGTAGCAGTATGTGCCATTATAGATCTTTTATTCTGTGCTAAGGGCTATGCCAAATGCCTTTACATCCCTTACCTAATATTTTTATTGGAATGACTATGCAAGTTTTTTATTATTTGCCCTTTTTACTGATAAGGAAACAGGCTTAGAGTTAAGTCACATAATAGTTAACAGAGTCAGAATTTGAATCAGTGTTCCCTGGCTCAAAAGGCTACCTGTGATGACAGCCCTATGGCATATGTGCCCATCAGGCTGTTTGGATCACTGAAAGCTCTATACAAGGTTTGCCATCACGGGGCTAGACCCAGTGAGTGTGTTACTGTTGATGATGGTTTAGTGTTGGGACATCTAATGCTAAACAGGAAGACAAAAGAAAATTGTAATAATAAAAAAGTCAGTACAGGCAGAGTAGAAATATTCATTATTTATCATTTAATACAAGTTAACTCGGTTTGAATAATTAAAACAGACTTTCCTGGGGCTGATGAGATGGCTCAGTGGTCTAAAGCACCTACTTAGAACAAGCTTAGCAAAGCACAGGGACTGCGGTTCAATCCCCCAGCACCACATGCCAGCCAGCCCCGCCCCCTGGTGGGCTGAGCTGGCCACACACACACACACACACACACATAAATAAATAAAAACAAAACAAACAAACAAACAAAACCCCAGTCTTTCCTATCCTACCTGTACCCTCCATGCACTTTAGAAGTATTAAATTATGAAATGAGGTCAGAGAGAGTGAATGTTTTTCCACAGATACTTCCATACATGGTTAAATGAGTTTTGCTTGAATTTCCTCCCTTGTCTTAATGGGGAAAACTTTTAGGCCTTAAATGTCAAAATGGAAATCCTTATCCCAAATAAAGTTGGCTCTCAGATAGGAACCATAATGAATGTTGGAGAATTGTTGAAAATGGCATCACTCATATTTCTCATTGTTAATTAGGAAAGTGTGCTCTTATGTCATTTGGTGATAAAAAAAAAAAACCCACCAGCCCAACTAACATTGTGTTTGTTTTTCTGGAGGGGTAATGAGGCTAAATATTTGTTTATGTGGGTGTAAAGGGTACTGCCCTGTGAATTCCACTGTAACTTTGTAATTAATGTACCATTACCTAAGCCTTACCAAGTATTTCTGCCTTCTGGACACAATAGAGGTCTCACAATAGAGATTTCTATTATTTGCAGTTACCCTCATAAAATTTGAAAGCAAGCAGAAAAGGTTTTTCCTTTCAAAACAAGTTTGCCCTCTGCTTTGTGCTTCCACCCTCCCTATGGTACGAAGACAGAGCCCCTGAGACCTGCTGCCAGCTGGCGCTGGGTTGCTACCTCTGTTCATATCCAGCTTGTCTTCTGCCCAAGGCAGACGTGCTGTCACCACACCGTCACCTCAAAGCAGCAACCCAGGTTTGGAGCAAGTCCTGAAGAACAGGCAAACTAGGCTATCTCACTCTAGATGGCAGGAAAAATAGTCCTTTATTCTTTTCCCTCTTGCCTGAGAGATGGGATGAGGAAGTTGTTCCTTTCTGCCAGTCTGCGCAAGTCACATTCAGAAAACCTTTTTCCATAAATTTGCGGTTGATGCTTTAGCAACCCAATCACTAAGAACAAAAGGAACAGAGCTGTGCAAGCAAAGTGGTTGTGAAGATTTAGGGCCAATAGTGAGACCCGGAGACCAGGTTGAAGGGAAATTAATCCTGTACTATTTTGGAGTGTCTCATCTTGAAGACAATTAAACAGTCCAGACAGGTCACTGGGTGAGACCAATTTCCTGGTTTGTTTATTTAAGCCCAGTTGTTTCACCACCGAGCAGCAGGGCACAGTCGGCTATGTGGCCAGTAGGCCTGCGGAGAGCAGCCCTTTCAGTTTTTAGTTCTCTAGACTTCTCAAAGTAGCCTACCATGGTTTTGTCTCTTTGGATGCTCTGGGGTCTCTGTCAGGCACAGGGTGGAGAACACATCAGTGAATACTCTTGACTTCATCTTACACAGGCTTTTGGCTTTATGTCTCGAGTTGCCCTACAAGCAGAGAAGATAAATCACCACCCGGAATGGTTCAATGTGTACAACAAGGTAACTAAATTGCCTTATTTTGAGATCTCTTTAATTATGAAGTTTAAGAAACTTCTTTTTACTTTTCTTCCTTATCATCTTGTGTAATCAAATGTCATTGTGTTTAAGAAAGTATTTTCTTTTTCTTTTAGAATCCCTGTGTATTATGGCAAATTAGTAACAAATTTTAAGTCTGCTCAAAAGAACAGTGAACATGCTCTCTATTTTTTTAGTTGTCTTCTACTGAAGCTATGTAAGAAACTTGGGCCAAATAAGGTTCCTAAATTATACTTGGCTGTCAGCCATGCAGGTAGATTTTTTTATTTTTTATTTTTTATTTTTTATTTATGCATGTGTGTGTGTGTGTGTGTGTGTGTGTGTGTGTGTGTATGGCCAGCTCAGCTCAGCCCACCAAGGGGCGGGGCTGGCTGGCATGTGGTGCTGGGGGATTGAACCGCGGTCCCTGTGCTTTGCTAAGCTTGTTTTAAATAGGTGCTTTAGACCACTGAGCCATCTCACCAGCCCCATGCAGGTAGATTTTTAAGTTGAAGGTAATTTATTAAAAGAAATGGTAGATAAGATAGATATAGCCTTATTTATAGCTCATTGAAATAAATTTTCTCAGAAACTATACTTTACATACTATGTTTATTAAATTCTCGACCCCTGAAAGGGGCAGACTAAAAAGTTTTAAGTGGTACACTTAAAAAAAATTATGTCCTCCTAAAAGTATTCTTGCCCTAATGCTCAAGTCATTTAGAATTTAATTATTCAGGTTTCTCTGAGGGTTTTTCTCTTTGAAGAAGGCAGGGAAAAAATTTACCCAGTCCTATGATTTTTGAAATAATTCAAAGCACCACAGTGCTAGGATACTTTTCTTGTTTGGCCATAATCTTGCATTTACTTTTTAATTGATTTGTCAAAACACAATGTGTTTATACACTGTCTCCCCACACCCTGACCCTTTCCTAATTTGGAAGTGCACTTTTTTTTTTCTTTTTTAACAACCTGCAAGATATTACATTTGGTAGTTTGGTTTTTCTCAGTACCCTGAAAACAGTCAATGTAATTAAAGTAATGAGAGTTGAAATGAAACCTCAGTTTCTCCCCTATGCCCAAGAAACAACATTTGAGATTCTGGCAGCTTAAATGTCTCATCATGTGAGCAAACCTTTTCATCCAGGGTGGCTGCTGGGCCTGGCCTGATACTCATTGTGCCCCTGAGTTCCCAGGGCTTTGGAAATACTATATTTATTCATAAAGTAGTATTTTCTAAATCTTCCCCAATTCTCAAATACGAATGATGAATCATAGATTGATCTCTGAACTGCTCAAGGAGAATTCCATGAATTGCAGCTCATAGTTTTATCTAATCTGCTTTCTTCTTTTTTAGGTCCAGATAACTCTTACATCACATGACTGTGGTGGACTGACCAGAAGAGATGTGCAGCTGGCGAGATTCATTGAAAAAGCATCTGTTTTTGTGTGATTTCTTCTAAAATGCATGTAAAATGTTATAACCATCTTAGCTGCAATATATTTTGAAGGCAACTTGCATCAACAAGTTCTATTGCAAATTAGTTCACCTTTA